GTCTTGATTAATCTGGGCATCAATCCACTGGTTTATTTTACTTTAATATTTTAGATCCTTTTAGTTAAATACAAGTAGATGAGAAGTTAGTATGTTCTCAAGAAAATTTATCATGGTTATTGTGGGTGAAGGCGAATAAAGTCCTGCCTTCTGAAAAAATGAAAATATCCACAACTGGCAGTCATTTTGTAAAGCAGGAAACCTCCCTACACCTGCTCTTATGTGAGGGTGCGCAAAGCATTCTTAAAATCCCAAGTGAGTCCACCAATCAAAAAGTTTCCTTACCCCATCACAAACTATTTTCATTCCTCAAAACCCATATTTAAAAAACTTTCAAATGATGGAATATTTGAACAGTGACATTCCTCACTAAACATTTTCATATTATATAAATATGGAAATAACTTATTGCATCCTTGCCTATAATGTTCTTTCTGCATGTTGATTTGTGAAGATATCTCTTAAAATGTAGCCTAAAGTTTTAGTTTAAAAATATGTGTGTGTGAAGCTTGGTGTACATAGGATATTAGAGGAAAGCAATGGTCTATATTTACAGTGACCATATTTTTTGGGAAAACATGAAGGACAAACATGAAAAGGGGCAAATCTGACAGAAGCTTGTAAGGATAAAAAAGTTAATTGTTTATGTTTAAAACTTTGATTTACAAGGGAAAATTCAAGAGCGAAATCTAGTAATACAAAGCATATATTCTAATAAAAATATCTAAAACCAAAGTATTTTATTTTTAAAATAAATTCTTAAAACCAAAAAGTTTACTTTAAAAAGACAATTCAATTCCTATATTTTTCACATCAATGTGAAAGACTGTGTATTAAGTGTTATCACTTGCATGCTGGCTGGGGAATTCTGGGAGTTGATGTCTACAAATCTTAAAGTTGCCAATTTTTGAAAAATCCTGGCTTATATGAAGTGGGTAAAACCACAGGTCACAAGAACCATTTGCTGTCTACAGAAATATTTAAAAGTGTAGATCACAAGTAGTCTACAACCACAACTGGAAACAAAATTTCTGTTGCTAAGCAAGGCAATAAAGTGAGTTGTGTGCAATTTTATGACCTTTTTGCCATGTTTATTAAATGAATCACTGCAGTTGTTAAGTGAATCTACTTTCCCCCATTAACTTTCCTTGTCGGAAGCTGGCTGGGAATGTCAGAAATGACGATCAAATGACCCTGGGACACTGCAACTGTTGTAAATCCAGGTGCCAAGTGCCCAAATTTTGTTCATGTGACCATGGGGATACTGCGATGGTTGTAAGTCCAAGGACCAGTCACAAGTCACTTTTTTCAATGCCGTTGTAACCTAGAACGGTCACAAAATGAATAGTTGTACATCAAGAACTACTTGTACACTGGAAAACTACGTGGTCCCTGATGATTTCTAGGAATTTAGCAAAATACAATAACATACCTTTAGAATCCTATCACTACAAAACAAACTAGAAAAGACAAAAAGTCGCAAGACTCTTCCTTTCAATACTGATTTAGGTGAAACACAGTTACAGCAGGGTTAAAATTTCTCTTCCTTTTAAATATGTCTGCTCAAATCCTCATATACCAAGCTGTTCTGAACTGTCTTATGAAGGAGAAAAATTTTCATTTTTCTTCCTGGGGAAACACTTCAAGCAGACCAAATGCAAGGGGGAAAAAACCTTCTCTAGCTCCCCATCTATATCTCCTAGAAGTTCTAGGATTACATTGTAGATTAAAAACTGATAATCCTGGCTGCATCCTGAAGTTTGATTTTATGAAACTCGGGTATCCAATATTTATTAAGGGAAGATATGCCAGGGCTAGGAAAGACTCCATCCAATCCTGTACATTAAAACATTAAAGCAGACACATAAGTAATCGCTGAGAGCTAAAGCCGAAAATCAGATAAACTGCAGGCTACGGCTAATTTGAATTCCTATTAGGGTATTGTACTCTGAAATTAACACAACTCTCAAATCATTGTTGCCATAATTGTAGATGCCAAAGTAATTTTGATGGCAATGTTTCATTTGAAATAGTAAATAAAAAGCAGATGGCTTTTTCAAAACTTCGATGTACTACACTGATGAGTTTTTCAAGAGTCATGCTTCTTTTTCTATTGAAGCTCAATTCACACCTCCAAATCATTGACTTGGCAATTTCAATATCAAATGATAGCTTCCACATCTGAAACAGCCGACACGGACCAATAATTACAAATAGATATAATCTAAGACGCAGTAAGTGAAAGCAGAACGGTGCCAAACAGTCCTTTTTTACTTAGAATTTCTTTCCCATTCCCTCCTTCCTTCCTTCAAATCCTGCTAATTTTCAACTAGTAAAACTGCAAATAGTTGTTGCTTTGTAAGGCGGGCCTATGATATTCACAGTATTAAATTCATAGACTTTGTTCTATGCAAATAATATGCTTAGACATAAGAGAATGAGGTGGCATTTGTATTTCTGGGGAGCATCAACAGTTTCTTTATTCCAACAGCTACTCACTCATATGCTGTCATGTACAATCTGCAGCTTGAAATAATGTAAGCTGGCTGGCAAAAATAAGATGTGACCTATGATTGCTAGATCTTTCTTAGTGAGTCTCATCCACAACACATTCTATAATGGTACAATCGTATAGCTATAAACAAGGACATTTTCTTAAAAAAAACAAAAAACCTGCATTTTCTTAGTAGTGCAATGGTTCAAATTGGTGCAATTTCTTAAGTGTTAATTATGAGTCATCAGCAAGGAAGCACTTATAGTACTGAATACAGTTTCAGATAAAAAGTCCAGCTAATCTAGCATTCTGGTCCCACATAGTCTAACCATGTATTTGTGAGAAGGTATTAGGCAGCATGTGAATAGCAATAGCACTAGCACTTAGATTTATATACCGCTTCACATTGCTTGCCAGCCCTCTCTAAGCAGTTTACAGAGTCAGCATATTGTCCACTCACCCCCAAACAATCTTGGTATCATTTTACCGACCTTGGAAGGATGGAAGGTTCAGTCAAGCTTGAGAAGGTGAGAATCAAACTGCAGAACTGCTGGAAGCCGGCAGTCAGCAGAACTAGCTGCAGTACTGCATTCTAACCACTGCACCACCACAGCTCCCTTTTGCTTATATCGCCTAGCCTAGGGGTAGGTAACCTTGGCTCTTTTATGACTCATGGACTTCAACTCCCAGAATTCCTGAGCCAGCATGGCTCAGCTTGGAAACCTCTCCCTTTCCCCTCAGCATGGCTGGCTCAGGAATTCTGGGAGTCCACGAGTCATAAAAGAGCCAAGGTTGCCTACCCCTGGCCTAGCCAATACTATGAAGAAGTATGTTGACAATACTTTACAGCCATCTTAACCAGTAGCTATGATAAATTTATAGTATCTCCCATGACTTTTTCTAGATCTCTTTGAAAACTGAGTTCATAGCTCTTACATCTTGTGTTAATTAATCATATAACTTTACGACAAAACTATATGAAAAAGCATTTCTTTTGATCGATTCTGAATTTTCCATCTTCAGGTTAATTTTAACATTTAAGACTCTTTCACCGCACCTTGCCTACAGTAATTGTAATTGTATCTATTCTATTCTATTCTATTCTATTCTATTCTATTCTATTCTATTCTATTCTATTCTATTCTATTCTATTCTATTCTATTCTGTCTTTATGAGATTCTCCCTTATTTTCTTCCTCATCCGAAAATGTCTTGAGTGCTCTGACTTCACTAATTCCAAGTATGGCTGTAGTATAGATTTTTATAAAAGAATTAAGATATTGCAGTTTTATTTTGAACTTATCCTAATTTCCAATATCAAAGCAGAGCAACAACACAGAAAACTATGTTTTATCAATCTATTCACCACAACCCTTATGCTGTATATTCATTATTACTCCTAATGCATACTTTAAGGAATCATATGACTGGCCATCCAAATACTTTTTGGTGGCAAATTGTTACTTCTAGATTGTTTAAAATTATAGCAGCACATAATCATCTGCAATATTGGCAAGCAAAACCTTTAAAACATAGGCCACAACCTATTTACTGGGAGTAAATGGATGTTATGAATTTTCTTGTCATATTTATTGCATTGTTTTCTTAGACACTCAAGGTAGTGCTTTTAACACTCTGCTCATTTTATTTTCATAATCAACCAGTGAAACAGATTGGGCTGATATTGTATTGGAGTAACTATATATGACTTCACTATTATAGATTTTGAATTGGTAGTTTATGGCAATTTATTAGCATCACTAATGACAAAAGGCTTTTTTTATATATACAAATATATGAAAAAAATATTGAGAAGAGGTATAAAATCTGACAGATATACTGAAAAGTCCAATCATTCATATAATGCATTTCATTTATTGAAAAACACTAGGTAAATATTAGTAAAATCAGAAGTTTTTCTATCTCTGATTATTCTGTGTAATTTATGGCATATTATTTTGGAAAACATTAAGCATGGTTCTTTGGATGAATAAAAGAATCAAAGTTACATTTTAGGAATTCTGAAGACCAGGCTCATCCATGTATCAACTACACTTTTACTCACGTTTAAAACAAGTAGCTTTAGATTTTAGCTTCTGCAAACCATAGAATGAATGTCTTACAATCCTTTCTTCTACAATGTGTTGTAGTTATTTAACAAAGTTACCCCAGATACCAGGAATTTTTTTTCACAAAAATTGATTTTTTTCACTAAAAAAGATAAAAAAAAACATAATTGGTGTTCAGTGTCATGGAACATCATCCATCCCATATTGATGGTAAGGAAAGAGACCCAATTTTAAAGATAAGCTGATTATCTAAATCAGATGATAACTAAACATTGGGAATTATAATGAGAAACAACCAAGTTCTTTAGCCTAGACCTGAAATCTTGCATGTCTTTTGAGACTAACTTCTAAAAAAATATAGAGAAGACTAAATTATAACAAGGATTGGGATTAGGATATATGGAACATTAAAAAAAAAACAAATTTAACTCAAGGTACCTATTTTGCTGCCAAAACTGCATACAGCATTTTTTCCGTGCAAAGTTAACCTAAGTACAAAGAGGAAAAATCTAAAACAATGCACGGTCATGTATAAAAAAATTCACAAATGTCTATTTTTCCATTAATAACTGTGCTCAACTTAATTACATTATACTTACATTTATTTTATTGCAGACATACACTTAATTTTTTAAAAAAATAAATATTAGGTTTTATCAATATGGTAGTTTAGATACAAACATATCTGGAAATCAGAATAACTTTAAGCAATACATCAGAATGATTACTCCATAGAACGAACTTAATAAAAATGAGTTGAAAAGAAGCACTTTTTAACTGATGGGATAAGAGTCAGAATTATGTCCTAATAAACTTTTTTCACAGGCAACTTTAACATATACATTAAATACTTACAATTTAAATTACCTTTTTCTTATTAAAGGTCACTATGTAATAATGCACCCACCTGGGCAATTTAATGTCCAGAAGCATTGGGATTTCAACTCTCTGGTAAATCCCACTTCAACTGGAGTGCACCAGATTGAGTATCATTAATCTTTATGATCAAGATAACAACCTACACAACCTGTAATCACTGTCTGATTTTCCTTTCCCTTTTTCCCTCTTAGAAATAGCTTTCACTTATTGTACCACACACAGGAAAACAGCTAATCTTTTAAGTTTCACAAGTAAAAATTATTGTGGGTGTTATTAACATTTGACACTTATATCAAAAAGATGGTTCAAAGTTCACTATATAAAGGAAGTAGCTGTACCTTATATCATCACTTTCTAGCCCAATCCCTTCTCAGAACATTACACTGTATATATTTTAAAGGGAATCAGGGTTGAATTCTGAAATAATTATTGTCAAATTAATGCTCATTACTAAATTGGCTCTTTTATGACTTTCAGATATATTTGGTAAATTATTATCATTTTTGATATACCTCTATATATGATTTGGCTAGGGATGGAATTTATTTTATTTCAAACTATCACTGAAAGCAATTATGTGGAAATCCACACTCCATAAAAAGTGTTTCCTCAACTGATTACCAAAATGCTATCGCAGTATTAAATTATGACCCTGTTACCATGCTGGATCATAACTCACACATATTGCCTCAAAGTTACGACACTAACAGGAACTTGCAGCCTCTTAATGTTTAATGCCCTAAGGGAGAAATGTCAGTGGGAAACTTACAAAACACTCCTGCAGACTTGGGATATGACACCAAGGCATCATATATATTTCACAATCTATAATCTCTGTTGTGGAATGATTACACTTGAAACACTATTTATATTCTCTGTTGTGATTAGGAAGACTAAAAGAAAAAGTATGATTTATTTAAAATAAATTATCAGCACTTTTGGATTACTAAGTAAGTGTAACCCCGGGCCCATCATCTTGTCTTCATCCTGGCTACAGGTGCTTTAGGTTTTCCTATTATCAGAATATTCACAGCAGGCAATTTACCTAGGAAAAGCTAAAAGCTTAAGGGGATCTAGAGTACAATAAAGCCCTATGAAACTACTTCAGCAAACCCAGAAGGCGCCTATTAATGCCCATTCCTGCCCACTGGATTTTATTAGAAACTCAAATATAATTCCAGTTACTATCAACTTCTCCTTCCTCAAGATGTATTACTCAGACCTGATGCAAAGCAAACTGCACACCCATGCCTAAAGAAGCCGGGAAGCGTTTATCTCACTTTTTTTTTTTTACTAAAGACTTTCAAGTCAATATACATTTTTTAAAAAAACCTGCATATCACAAAAACCCTTTGCACCCCTTATCTGCATTCAGGCCTACTGGATTCCTTTTACCTGGGCAGAATTTTCCTCGTCTAGAGTCCAACTCCCCAGACTGACATACCCATTAACTATGAGTTAATAAGTTGTTGCGCGTGTGCTCACACGGGCATGGCTTTCCTACAGATGTCTCTCCTTCCCCCCTCACCGTCCCCCCCACCCGGACAGTAAGTCTTATCTTTCCAGAGCTCGCGCAGGGTAACCCCGTCCGGAAAGACTTCAGCTCCTTCTCCCGACCGCTCTCACAACCCCTATTCTGGAGAGGAACTCTCAAGAGGAAACCCAGCGCCTCCGACTCTGATAGGGAAGAAGACCTGTTCTTGCCTGGCTCGGCCCTCCTAGAGGTCCGTCCCCCAAAACAAACTTTCTTCTGCCTTTTTTGCGGCGCCAGCTCCTCTATTCCGATAGTTATCCCCCCCCCCGGTCCCAGCGCCTCTCCCGCAGCCTCCCCACTGCCGCTGGACCCAGACACGTGCCTCCCCGGACCGAGTTCCCCGAACGCCTCCTAGAGTTGCAGCGAGTGGCAGCCGCTACTGAGGCGGGCGGGCACTCTGGAATGCAGCCCGTGGCTCTCCCCTGTCCCGACGCGCCGCAAGAGGCTCCCGCTGCCTCTTTCGTTCCCGCACTGACCTGACGCTGTCAACGCAGCATGAGCAACGCTTCGGCTCTAGTGGCATGGGCTCCCCCGCCCGGCCCGTCCTATGGGCAGGCCCCGCCCCCTCGGTCCCGCGGCTCCACTTCCCGCCCTCCAGCCAACCTCCGCGTCCCACCCACCCGGGAGCGCCCCGAGCGCCGCGCTGGAGCCCGCCGGAGTCGCTATCTGCTTGCCGCTGGCCCCGAAAGGGGGCCGAGCCGGGCTCTGGGAAGTTGCGCTGTGAGCAAACGAGGGCATCAGGTGTCCAGCTCTCTGGATGCGCCGGGCGATTAATAACAGAGGGAGTCTCTTTTTCCAGAAAGAAAGTTCCACGTGCTGGCGAGGAACCCGGGAGAAAGTGCGCGCAATTTGAATACAGCCCTGTCAAAGGATAGGAGCGTGTGTGTGGAGGGGGGCTCCACGGCTGGTCTTGGGTTTGTATGTGTGTGAAAGCGCAACCTTTAACGAACCAGCCCATCTCTCGCTTTCCCACGTGCACATTTTCTCCACGCACTAGTTTTCCCATGGACAATCTTGCTTTCTGCCCCCATAAATAAATGTCGGAGTCAGTTTTAGGATTGTCCCAGTTAATCTACCCCAGATTTAGACGATCCGTCAATTTTGTAATTGCTTTCCTCTCAATAGAAAATGAAAAAAGAAAATAGGGAATATGTACTAATTTGCAAGTCACCCAGTCCTACTGGCTTTGTGGTCTTGTTCATCTGCAATTACATGACAATTTTAGCCAGAGGAATTCTAAATAAATCTGAGGAGGATTATTTTTTTAAAATCCATTAAAATTAGTTAAATTAATCAGCCATATAAATCACTTTGTTCTGTTGGTTTCAATGGGTGATTATAAACAAAAGTCTGCTTTTAATGGAAGTAACTTCCAGTGAATATTACTCCTAAATAAGTGTACCTTGAATTGCCGTTTTAGTCAAAATCATCTTTTCTTGATTATAGCTATTTTGTTATGAAGAGAAGTCATTATTTTATACATTGCTAATGAGTAATGTGTAAAATACAGGACTGAATTGTTTAATGAATTAATCATTTAAATTAGTTGGTTGAAAAACTTATAAAAAATCAGGATCAGGAATCCCTGCGCTTATTCAAGCCCTGGGCATCTCATGTCTGGACTACTGCAATGTCCTGTACATGGGGCTATCCTTGAAGAGTATTCAGATGGTGCAGAGTGAAGTGGTATGGCCAGCCTTTAGGTCCCTTAGAATAGCCCAGGTTATACTGCTGTTCCATAAGCTAAACTGGTGCTTCTGGGTGCAATTGAAGGTGTTGTTGATTATTACCTATAAAGCCCTGCATGGCATAGGTCCAGGTTATCTAAGGAACTGTCTCATCCCAATGGGATGGGCCTGCCCCTCCCACACTGGCAGAGGAGGCCCATTGCAGATCCCATCAGTCAAGGAATTTCAGCTGGCAGGGTCCAGGAGAAGAGCCTTCTCTGCTGTGGCTCTCGCCCTTTGGAACATCTTAACATCAGCGGTGAGACCTGCTCCCACTCTCCTGGCCTTCCATAAGGGCCTGAAACTCTGGCTCTGCTAGCTGGTTTGGGGCCCCAATGGGTTGTGCCTAATAGCAGATCCCACCTCATCCTCTGCCCACCTTGTTCTTTCCCTCCCCATCTTTTTATCATAGCTTATAATTTTATGCATATGAATTAATGCAAGGGCTTTGTTTTGATGGTCTCTTTACTTTTGTGTAGGATGAATGGAATTTTCTAAGGTAATATTTTTATGGCATGTCTAAATTAGATTAAAAAATATTGGTTTTTATAGAAATGTATGTAAATGAGAGCCAATGTGATACAATGTTAAGGGGAATGATGACTTGGAAGTTGTTGCCTACTCACAACCAGAGAAACTCTCTGGATGACTCACACTCTTATCAGTCCAACCTACAGTATCTCACAATTTATCTATTGGGGAAACTAGGAGGAGGAGCATTGTGCATGCTGCCTTGAGCAGTTGAATGAAAGATGGAACATAAAAATATGGTCCAAATGAATGAAATATACTACTTTAGGAATTTGCTTCAAAGTCATGATGAATTATTTAAGATCTCTTCACCAACTGGCAGGAATGCCAGTAAAATAACTGTACAAAGTTAGCTTTTTCCTCTGAAACGTTAAGATTAGCACATCAAATCTTGGTAAAATTGTAGTTGCTGTGTTAGAGTGGTCACTGACTGCAATGTTTTTACTTAGATCATGCTTACTTAGTTTCATAGCACTTGTTGCAAATTAATAAAAAAGGTTGCAGATTTATAGTGCAGTCTTATAGATGTGGAAGTAAGCTTCTTTGTGTCAAATGGCTAAGTATCCTAGTTAACAGTATTTTTTTTAAAAAATATTCTTTATCATAAAGACTTATTAATAAGGAAATTAGAAAGAAAATTGATTTTTTTAACTAAGTAAAAGCGTTTAAAAATTAGTTTCAGTATTATAAATACTATTATATCTGAGCTAAATATGAATTTATAAACTTACTAACATTTTAAGACAAATAAATATGATCCATGTGAAACTTTATATCAATAGAAAATAAATTTAATTTCTCATTTACTCCCATAATTCTTGGGAGTAAATAAATATTCTGAAAATTGATTACTGTATTAAACTATATTTCCAATAAATTATGATAGGCAGAGAATTAATAATTTAAAGACCATAAAGGTAATAAGCTAGATATGGGCACCTTTGCAACCTTGTATTTACTAAAAATTTTCACTTGATGCAATAAATAAAATGCACTTAGTGTTTGTATCTGATGAAAATGTGAGTAGCTGAAATCCTATGGAGAACTGTTTTTAGAAAGACCCATTAAATTCAATGTGTTTTTCTTCCAATGCTGTAACTACATATGTTGGAATAGGCATTTGTATACATTTGCCATGCATAGGGTTGCATAGAAATCCAACTGATCTTTAGAAATCAACTTTACATAGCATAATGTAGCAGGATTGTACTAAGCAGCCACCATCTTCTTTTATATGCAGTCACTTAGGCACATTTTTTTAATCATTTACTTAGTTATTTAGCTGAATTAACAGAACATAGAGCAATGTATATTTTAAAAGTTATGTTTTTGTTTTCCAGTTTCTACTTGTGTTGTCGCTGCTCCCTTGTAGGTTTCAATAAATTTAATAAAACTGGCAGATACTATATTTTATAGGTCTTATTCTTTTACACATAGATTCCATGACTGTATTTTGCAGCTAAAAAATTATGCTCCTCAGAATCACCTTACTCATGGAAGTAAGCTTCTTCTATTAACCATTTGGTAATACTTTATGGAAATTCACCTCAAGAATATTGGGGGAAAAAACCCCTTGATCTATGGATAATTTCTTGCCACTAATTTCAATATTTTCAAGCTATTCCACATACATGTGTATCCAAGCTCATAAAATTCTCTAGAAGAATCAAAACATTTTCCTATCCCTTTTTTTTTTTCTCCTGATCAAAGATCACAAATTAGGATGGCTGCAGTAATCTCAGTACCAAATCCAGTTAAGAATTACACTGATATGAACTGAGACCATCATTCCATACAGAAGCTGGAATGAAATCTAGAAAGTTTATTTGAGGGATTTGTATTTTATAAATAATGATTCACAGAGCAGAAAGATCGGATCAGGAAGGATTACAAGAGAGTAAGCAGGCACATAATGGGAAATACACATTAAAAGAAATGCATTGGTGCCAATAGCTACAAGCATACTTTGCGAATACCTTCTCCCCCCCCCCCCCCGGTATATTAGTTACTTCTTCGGTTAGTGATAGAGTTGCTAGTCCCTGTAATGTGAAAAACAATATAATAAACCAAGGCTAAATCATAATTGCATTTAAATTCTCAGTATGATTTTAAGATAGGCTTGGGTATAATGCTCAAGAGAAAAAAATACCAGCTTTTCAAGTCCTTACAGCAGGTCAACAGGTCAGAGCATGCTGTGGAAGGCATGTAGTTCTAAAAGATGGGCACAACAGGAAAGATATGTCTCCTGGATCCATCCAGCTGAAATTGTATCACAGAAAGGACTCCAAGCATTCCCTTTCTGTCAAGATCGCGTGAAAATTGGCAATTGGAGGTAAGCAGCCTGACAAATATCCCAACCCTATGCCATGAAGGGCTTTACAGATCATAAACATTTCCTCGAATTACACCCAAGGAAACCAGTGCAGCTTGCAGATGGCTTGAGTAGTTATGGGTCTACCATAGTACATCAATGCAATACCATTACTTTACAAATTGTACCGGCTTCCTACAGGCATATAGTGCAATTCACTGTGCTGGGTATCAGCTTTTAAATTCTAAAAGTGTTGAAGCATTTCTGATGCT